AATATTTAGTACTGTAAGCTGCAATGACTGGCGTAAATTGTTGTATAGCAATAGCTCATGAATACACTGATGGGATAAAACAATAACAATTTCTGGGAGTCACGATGACCAGCCTCAAAACTATTTAAATATCCTAAAAGGAAAATAATACCAGTGGCTCAAACCATTGGTAATGGGGTGATAAGTACGTCAGCTACAGAAAAAGTAAAGCAAATCATTATTTAAGAGCTGTTCCTCAGGAGAAAAGTATGAAAGAATATTAAGGAAAGAGCTCAGGAGAGTTCCTGAGTTCCTACTTTAGAAGACTGAGTGCTTGCTAGGCCACATTAGAGAAAACATCCCGAAGGAGTCGGCCTCAGCACGGGGAAGCAGGAGTGGAAAGCAGCATGGGGAAAAGAGGAGAACCAGCAAGGAATCAGTCATCAAAGAACAATGGGACTACAGATGTAACAGAGAGGTCAGGCAGGGTTCAAACTGGAAACATGCCACTCGGTGCGTTAGTCATAGACACTCACTCATATGTGTATAAGAAAGAGCTTCATATACAAGAGCAATTGAATATTGAGAAAACATCCCAGGCCAGACCAGATCAAGTCCATAAATCCTGTATTAGCCCATATATCCGATACCAATCTATAAATTCCTCTTCAGACTCACAAAACATATGCAATGATGCCGAATGCAGGATGATCACAGGCCAGTAGGTGGAAGGTCTTGTGGATCCAGTGGCGGTAGCAGTATCTCAGCTCTGGCCAGGGTCTCCAGGTGGCTTCTTCAGCTCCAGAGCTCTAGTGTAACTCCTTGTGTCTTGTCAGTTGCAGTGCCTCCCAGGGAGTGAGCATGTGTCCCACCTCCAAGGAGCTGTTTATGCCCTTAGCACCTCCAAATGAGGTCATCAAGCTGGGACCTGATTGACAGGCTCCACTTCACCCCTTCACTCTTAATCCTCTCAAATTGACAACAGATTATGTAACTACCACAGATTGGGAATTAGGAGGACCATAATGAAGCCCTATAGCATGACAGGAGAAAATACGAATTGTAATGGGCGAGAGACCTTGAGGAGTAAACGGAAGCTGATCAGCTAGCACCAGTACACATAGGCTAGTCTCTCAAGAATCCTGGCCTTGGAAAGGAGAGACACCAAGTGGATTGGGAGTAAGGTGAAGAGAGAAGGGAAGAGCTATTATTTGTATGCCTCATTGGTTGCTGACTGGTTGGACGGCTCTCTGATTCTGTTTGATCCCTAGAATATGTGGACCAAAACAAACCAGGAAGCCACGTTCACGGCACCAGAGGCTATGCTGGCCCAAAGTGAGCCTGTGGGTTTCCAAGACTAACTGGACGCGGGAGCAGAAGGCCCAGTCTGTCTCAGAGTCTTTCTCTGCTGGGGATGTCAAAATGCCAACCATGCAGAATCAGCCCAATGTAAAACCACTACACCACCCCAGGGGTGCAAACAGGGTAGACTAAAGGGAAAGAGCCAGAGGAGAATAGAGAACTTGAAGCTCCAGGTGAGAGACAGGACACCTGGCAGAGCAAGAGCCAGGTGAAAGAGATGGGACCTCGTTGATTTGGGCTGAGAGAACAAGAAAGCCTCCCTCTCTCCTTGTAAGGCAGTGCTTCTCAACCGTCCTTATGCCGCGACCCTTTAGCACAGTTCCTCGTGTTGTGGTGACCCCCCAACCATACGCTTATTTCCGTTGCTACTTCATCACTGTGTTTTTGCTACTGTGATGAATCGGGCGAGCCCTGTGAAAAGGGTCCTCCAACCCCAAAAAGGGTCGTGACCCACAGGTTGAGAAGCACTGATGTAAGGGGACAACAGATGGGCACGCACATGGGGAAGACGAGAGAGGAGAGGAAGGAATATGGGGGCAGCTATCACCCAATAGATGTATTTTCTCTGGAGAGAAGACCATCAGAGTGACGGTTTGCAGAGGAGGATGGGACAGCATGACACGGTAGCAGCGTGACCGCTTTACGGCTTGCGAAGAGGCAGCGAAGCAACGCTAAGAACTCAACAGAGGTTAAAACCTGCAAGGCTTAGCTGGGCCAGTCAGCGCAGTGATGTGAGCTTTCTCCCTCCGTCCTCTGCAGATAACCTAGCGCATCCAGGGACGACCAGATCTCTGGGAATAGTTAATCGCGGTCACTTCATGAAAGAGCATCTGAAAAGAGTTATTCATACATTTTTAAGAAGCTGAAGTCAGTAAGCTGTTGCTGCACTGTGCTTCTCTGCACATATAATTTGGAGTTTTCACACAAGAAGGAAATGTGGCAAAGGCGAAGTCAAAAGAAGCAATTGAACTCACTGCCATTCAGTTGACTCGGACTCATTTCACCTCAGAGGGCAGAGCGGACCTGGCCCCTGAAGGTCTCTGAGGCTCTTCTAACTCCTTGGGGGAGTAGGATACGTCATCTTTTTCCTGTGGAGTGGCTGGGCGTTCAGAACCGCTGGTCTTACGGTATTTGATGGGCACTTGTGTTGGGGTAGAGGGGTCTGGGGGGGAGGGGACCTGGACACATATTCGGAAGTACCACTCAATTCCCAGCACCAGTGCAAACTCCCCTAAAATTAACTTTAATTTTTAAAAGGTTAAGAAAAATGGACTGGAATATGGAACAGAAAATACTCATATTAATCATTGTGTCATTTGCTCACGGAGAAAAAAAGAGAGTAAGTAGAAAGCAAGTTTGGGTATGTTTACATGCCTGTGTTTACAATTCAAGTCCAAATAGCTCTGGTAGCACCAACTCCCTAAGACAGGCTCCAGCGTAAATACACTGTCCTTCGACTAAATGCTACCACCTAGTGGACAATGTGAAAATCATCACTGCTGTTGCTACCAAGCAATGAATGGAACACAGTGTTAAAATAGAATTACACAGAAAAACACAGCAAAATATTTGTTAATACGTCTCACAGATTTTTATCATTTGAAAATGTGTGGCTCTGTAAATTTGATCTTTTTATTTTTATTTTATTTTTAATTAAGCAAGGTAGCTAATGAACAGGGGGAAACCTCATCTCATGGTAGAATATGGACAGCAGTTTATACTATCTTACAAAAAGTGGCTACGTTGTAATGATAAAAATACGCTGCTTTTTTTAAAAATCAGGGTTACATGGTCAAACTGAACTCTTGCATTTCAACTCACTCTGTTCACAGTGAAAGATCCTTGGCCACTGACTCCTTTCCGAAGCTGGACTGGGGGCTTCCCCTCCAGCGCCTACTGCTGTCCCACACCAGGACCACGTGTGACCGGAGAGAACGCCCCGGACAGGTCTGGGGTGCTGTAATCTTTCACAGCAGCAGCCCTGGTGGTGTGGTGGTTAGGCACTGGGCTGCGATCCACGTGGTTGGTAGTTCAAAGCCACCAGCAGCTCCTAGAGAGAAAGACTGGGCTTTCCCAGTTACAGTCCTGGAAACCCACAGGAGGTTGCTATGAGTCAGCACTGCTGACTCAGCGGCAGTGAGGGTTGTGTTGTTGTTGGATTGGCTGGTTCATCTCTCACAGGGCACAGCATCCTTACGGGAATGGCTCCGAGGACGAACTGCTGAACAGTCAAAGGCTCAGCCACTGCACCAGCAACACTCCTTTGGTCCCGGTAAATCAAAACTTTAAAACTCATGACCACCGAGCTGATGCCCACTCAGAGCGACCTTCTAGGATGGAGGGAAACAGCTCCTGAAGGTTGCCAAGGCTGAAGACCTTATGGGAGCAGACAGGCTCATCTTCTCCCAGGAGCAGCGTGAATCACCAGCCTTGCAATTAATAGCCCAGTGCTTAACCAACTACGTTACCAAGGCATACCCTGAGGTACCCTGCCTCGGTGCCATCGAGTTGACTCGGGGACCCCAGAGGACAGGGTCGAACTGCCCCTGGGGTTTCTCTAATGGAGTAGAAAACCTCACTTTTCTCCTATGGAGCAGCTGGTGGTTTCAAACTGCACACCTTGGGGTTACCAGCCCAACGCATAACTGCTGTGCCGCTATTTGGTACCTAGAGGGTACCAAGGTACCCTAAGGTAATGTATATATGTATTCCCAAATGCACTGATAGCTGTATAGTAGATTAAATGTTAAATTAAATTCAGATTTACTGTTTCTAGCTTTAAATGTTATGAAAAAAATCTAACTGCAATTGTGCGATGAAAATGTATGTGTATATGTGTATATATAATGCAGCCTAAATTAAATACAAATCTTTACAAAAAAACTTCAAAACTTGTGGCAATAAATGATGGCTCAATGTCTACCCCACCATTTACCTGTCAGTCTGTAGCACTGTGGTGGTGGCCCACTGTTGTGATAGGGGAAATTATGGCACCAGTATTTCAACCAGCAGGGACACCCATGGTGGGCAGGTATCAGGGGGACATCTACACTCAGAACAAACCAGGAAGAAGGGCTAGGTGGTATACCCCTGAGGGACGAGTCACTGGAACCCTCAGGGCTGATAAGGTCTCACTAAGCGTACAACTCGGTCAGACACCCAGGAAGAACGCTCAGTTGGAAGGCACCGAAACTGACTGGAGAAAAGCTGCCCCCTCGGAACACCAAACTCAAACTCACTGCCATCAAGCCCACTCCAACTCACAGGGAGCACTTCCCAGGACCTCTGAGACTGTCCCTCTTCACGGGAGTAGAAAGCCCCATCTTCTCCCCAGCACAGTTGGTGGTTTCCAACTGCCAACCTTGTGTAGTCAGCCAAATGCAGATAGCACTAAACCACCCGCTATACCACCAGGGCTCGCTGCACGACCTCTCGTAAGTGTTAAACTGCAAGACAGAACTTTGAGGCCAAGGGCTGATTCTAAAGCAAAACACCAAACTCACTGCCAACCGGTCTATGCCAACGCATAGTGACCTTCCAGGACAGAGGGAAACTGCACCTTGAGGTTTTCAAGGACTAGGAAGTTGCTTTAATCTAAACATTTCATGGCTCTAGGGTAAAAGAAAATTAAAAATGAATGACATCTCAATCTTACTCACCGACAATTTCTTCCGGTGATGCATTTAAAGTCAAAAACTTGTTTGTATTTTCCATCTCCTCGTTACTTTGCAAAGTACTTTTTGCAGACTAATAAAAAAGAAGTGAAGGTTTAAACATGGGAGGAGAAGGCAGATAAGTATAGCGTGATTTTTTTTATTCTAACCGTGCTCACAATAGTATCCGTACAGCCAAGATTTGGGCAATGCATTTGTATGCTATATTTAGGAAATTTGCCACTGTTTTCTGTTCTGGCAACTGGCATTTCCAGGTAGAGCTAGAGAATTATGTAAGCCATTGTATGATAATTACCTGGTTTGAAGTTTCTTTTCTCTTAATATTTCTATAACTAATGAGTAACCTAAAGATGATATACCATTAAATTGAAATTTAAGACATTTCAAGATTGATATCTTACTATGTTTACATTTATGACTCTTATTTCTAAGCAAATAAAAAATGGCTTTGAGATTGAATAGAAAGAACAGATTTTATAACTGACATTGACACCAATTCTTTCTCTAATATAAAACATTATAATTTGATTGTTGCCCTCTTCTAATCTCAATGGTCCTCCAAGAACCTTGTTCAAAAAAAGTCCTCTTAATTGCTTCATTCTTAATTCATATTATTGCCTAGGAATTTGCTTCCTAAATCAATCACTTGATCAAGGAGGACCTTACCAACAGTAACTGAAAATGCCACTGCACTGTCCCTTGCCCTAGAGGTGTTCCCCTTTGAGGGCGTCAGCTCAACACAAGCCAACATGGTCAACATCCACCTCTCCGCCCGATGGAAGACACAAGGTTCAAGAGGGCCCCAAAGAAAACCAGTCATCATTTGCTGAGACAAAAGCAAAGTAGAACATGGTCTCAGACCTCAAGCACGTTGCAGATTCTTTAATATATCTTGGTTAACATAGAAAGCAGTGGACTCTCCAACGTGTTCATCACAAAAACTCACACTGTTTCTAACATGAAACTTTCCCATTGTGACTTGAAATTTTCAAGTCATAATGTTAAGCAGGCAATCAAATTTTTGTGCATTTGTCCATTTATTTCAAAACTAAGTTCCTTGAAGGAAAAGCAGACATATACACTTGGATGATGAAGATATAGCCCCCACATCCCTTTCTCTGCCAGAGATGGAAGATCACCAGGCAGACACTGGGAGGCACTTTCTCCTGGGCCTGTTTACAGGGAATGGGCATGTCAGCACGGTGCCTGAAGTCTAAATGCTGCAAACCAATTAACCAAATTATTCCTCTGATACTAAAAAGAAAATCAGCCATTCAAACTCTCTCTCACACACACACACACACACACCACTGTCTCCAAAATAAATTAAGAAAGGTAAATCACATTAACCACTACCACCATCTGTTTTTCTTATTCTCATCTGGAATGGTTTCTTCCAAACCAAAATCTCTTCTCGCTCACAGCAACCCTGCAGACTGGACAGGGCTGCTCCGGTGGCCTCCACGCTGTCCATCTTGATGGAGGTAGACCAACTGACACAGCTTTCTCTCATGAAGCTGCTGGTGAGTTTGAACCACCAACTTCTCAGAGAGCAGTGGAACACTTGAACTGCTGCATTACCAGGAGTCCTGATGGTGTCTTCCACGTCAGCATATGGTACCATAATTCTTACCTTAAGCTCTTCCCACAGCTTGATTCTCAATTCCAGACCTTGCTTCTTAACTTCTCTTTCTCGACATTGTATCTTCACCAATATTTTATCAAGCCTCTTCATCTTCTGAATAGCATCCTGAAGTTTACAATCTACTTCTTGTATATTGGGATCATCTAGATTGTGTTGAAAGTAAGAATGAGTTTGATTATTTAGGAAAGCCATACAGTTATTCTTTGTAGTTTTGTTTTGTATATAATATTAATTCTCTGACTCAACAAATATTTAAGG